AAGAAAGAAAGAAAGAAAGAAAGAAAGAAAGAAAGAAAGAAAGAAAGAAAGAAAGAAAGGAAAATGTCAGAATCTTTCAGACCTTGGAACCCAAGCTCCAGAGCTATCTGTTCAAGCCCCACTTACAGTAGCCGCTTCATCCATCTCCTTCTGCTTCTTCTCAAAAATCTCATCATCATCCTTGTCTTTCTCAAACTCTTTCTGGCAGCGATTCAAGAGTACCTTGCGAAAATTCACCACGGTGGAAGGTTTATCAGTAGTGGGGACTTTCAGCTAAAAAAAGAGACAGTTGAGGATCACCATGAGAACACAGCCTTAAGATAAGCTCTCCTAGATGCTCACTGGTCCAAGCGCCACATACAAGACATTACAATTGTCTGGCCGCAATCCTATCACAACGTATGGATTATGCTCATGGAACATTAGCCTGTTTATCAAATGAGTCCATTTTTAGGGTTCGCAAATACACCGATACACATGCATTAGCCACAAAAATCCTAACTTAGATTAACGCCAGCCAAGCTTTACCGGTTGTGGTAGAGCCAACTAGGCCAGCGGCCTCAAACCTTGCCAGCTTTGCAAACCGGTGGGAGGGGGAAGAGAGGGAATGGGTCCAGGTGCCCGCAGGCTCAGCTCCATTTGTGCAAGCGGTGGGCACGTGTACTTGCCGTTCTCACAATTGGAGCTCTGTGCACACAACGCTTACCTGCCACTTTCACGGCCCAGTTCTGAACAGGCCCAAGTAGTAAGCCACGGACTTAGCGTTGGGAAGCTCTGAACTAGGTAACTTCTAGCAACTCGGTTATTGGGGACTTCCAAATTTTGGGAATGGCCTTCCCCACTTACCTATAGTATCTAAGTCAGGGTTTCCCAACCTTGGCCATTTTAAGATGTGTGGACATGCTGGCTGGGGGAATTCTGGGAGTTGAAGTCCACACATCTTAAAATGGCCACGGTTGGAAAACCCTGATCTCAGTGTAGATGCTGTATGTCAGGGGTCCCCAACCACCAAGCCCCGGACCGGTACCGGTCCGTGGATCATTTTCTACTGGGCGCCGCCATCTTGTTTTGACGAGAAAGTGCTTCCGGGTGAGCTTTTCCGGTTGGAAAGCGGCGTTTGGGTCCTGAAGGAATCCTTGCGCCTTAGTTTCATCGAAGTGTGGGGGGGGGGGGCTTCGAACGAAGAGCCATCCCGATGGCAGAGGAGATTAAGAAAGCACAAAAAAGGTACAAAGGAGGAGTTGAAGGTGGCGGGGAGAAGCGGGGGACGGCTGGCTGGCCGGTCGCTCGGCTCGCCTTGCCTTGTCACGCGTGCTGATGCCGGTACCGGGCCGCGGATCATTTTGTGATGCCGGTACCGGGCCGTGGCACAAAAAAGGTTGGGGGCCACTGCTGTATGTGACAATTGGGCTACAACCATCAGTTATCAATATCTCCACACCCGATTCTGGGAGGCACTTGAATCCACCGTGCATTAGAAAGGGGAGGGGTGTGTGTGTGTAACCCCTGTGAGAATTGGTGGGCCTTGATTCCTGGAGAACTTACCCCCATAAGGCAACGGCACATGTTGGCATAGGCAACGGAGAAGTTTGGCTCAGAGATGGCCTTCTCGAAGATGAGGTCAATGACGCCCTTGAGACGTTCTTCCGTGTCAATGGACAGCTCGGTGACCTGCTTCATCAGCTGCTGGAACATCTGGGGTGTCAACTTGTTGAGAATGCTGCGCACACGTCGGAACAGCTCCTGCGGGAAGAGGGAAGAACAGGATGCTGTCATTCAGGATGCTGCTTATAAGCGCTATGTGCTTGGAGCTCAAAGCATGGACAGAGACACACACACACACACACACCCCACACACGCTTCATGGCCTGTTTCTGTTGCTCCCCTCTGGAAAGAGGGTTCGAAGTATTTCTAACAGGACTACCAGATTCTGTAACAGCTTTGCTTGCCATCCGTCTGGCAAACTCGCAAGATTCGGTTCTCTTGCCATGTGCGTGTCTACATCTGAACTAGACCGTGTTGTTTTTCCGAGTCATAGAATAATATATGTGAGTCTATGCATGGTTTTGTATTTATTTATTTAGTCAGTTAGTTGTGTTTATGTAGTGCATATTGGAGGTGGGGACCCCTTGAGAGCTGCATGCAACGAAATTTCATTTTAACGTATGCCGATCCGTGCACAACATTCAAAGTGACGATAAAAGTTATCACGTGAGTCTTACGACTTTCCTTGCCACGTTTGTTAAGTGAATCACTGAGGTTGTTACGTTAGTAACAGGCTTGTTCAGTGAACCTGGCTTCCCCGTTGACTTTGCTTGTCAAAAGATTACAAAAGGGGACAACCCCAGGACACTAAAACTGTCATAAAGATGAACCAGTTGTCACACTCCCGAACGTCAATCACGTAATCACGAGGATGCTGCAACGGTCGTGGGAAGCATGATCATAAGTCACTTTTTTTCAGTACCACTGTAATTTCGAACGGTCACTAAATGAACGGTTGTTAAGTCGAGGACTACCTGAACAGGACTGTATGGGCTGTAAGCAAGAAGGCAGCAGCTACATCAGAATGCTGGATTTGTGTTCCCATTTCTGTATCCTACCTCTTTCCCTCTATCTTCCTGCTGAGAGCTACAATCCAACTGCCTAAGTCTAATTTCTTCCAGTTTTCAGCCATGGCTTACTCATGTCACCCTCGGTCAGCACATCTCAAACCTTCTTTCTAGCCGACACACTTGGGAAACCCACTCCCAACAGAGAATAGACTATTTCTGAATATCGTCTGGGATCTTTAGAAACCTTCTGAACAAATGTAAACCAACAGCCGACTTTCCTAAATCAAAATCTCTGCGATCCAAGCTGGCAGTCTAAAGACCACCCACTCTGGGGCGCTAGCAAGGAAGAGATAAAATCCCTAAAACAGCCTCAGCTGCAACAAGAGGTCGCAAAGCCCATGAGAGAAGCAATGTGGAACTAAGGAGAAACTTCCTAACAGTGAGGACAACTAACCAGTGGAACGGTTTGCCTGCAGAAGTTGTGGGTGCTCCATCGCTGGAGGTTTTTAAGAAAAAAACTGGACAACCACCTGCCTGAAATGGTATAGGGGCAGTGGTGCCTAACCTTTTTGGGCTCCTGTGCCAAAAATTGTGCGCATGCTTGCATTCGCGTGCCAGCACCCAGAAGGCAATGTGCGCCGCCCCCCACGTCCCCTACGCATGCGCGGGCAATCCCTACCCCCCCCCCCCCGCCCCCCCCCTACCTGCACTGCACCTCACAGTTGATTTTTGGCCAGTTTGAGGCCTTTTTCGGCATCCCAGAGGCTTGAGGAAGGCTTCTGCGGGCTTTGCAGGCTAAAAACTAGCCCTGTTTCGTCCCTTCTGGATTTTCGGAAAAACAGGAAGTGACGACACAGGCCTAGTTTTCAGCCTGCAAAGCTTGCAATAGCCTGCAGAAGCCTTCCTCAAGCCTTTGGGAGGCCGAAAAAGGCCTCAAACCTGCCAAAAATCAGCTGTGAGGTGCGCACATGCACAGTGAGGTAAGTTTTCCTGCCACTCGCATGTCAGCACAAATAATGGCTGCGTGCACCACCTGTGGCACGCGTGCCATAGGTTCGCCATCATGGGTATCGGGTCTCTTTGTTTGAGCTAGAAGACCTCCAAGGTCCCTTCCAGCTCTATGATGATTGACAGATGGATGTGTACCTGAGTTTTTATATTCTCAGGGTCTTCTACTTCACTGGCCCGCTTGCTGCTGGGCTTCCAAGCCTTCTCAGCCTTGTTCAACTTGACGTCTTCATTTAGAGACACCGTGGCAATAATCTTCCGGGGTTCCTTCCGCAGGCTTTGCTGGGAACGCCGTTGTCCTGGCCCAGCCGGCTGTGATGCAGGACAGGGAGAGGGAGGGAGGGAGAGGGAGAAGGGGAGGGAGAGCGAAAGGGAGGCAGAGGGAGAGAGAGACAGAGAGATTAATATTTTGCAAAGACTGCTGAAACAAGCATGCTGAACAGAAGCATGGGCTCCATAGTTGGAAGCTATTCTTCCCTCCAGCTGTGTTCAGTTACAACAACATGGGCTGCTAGATCAGTTCCTCGGTTCCATCACAGAGCATCAGTGGCCCAGACACGATGGCACTAATTCGGAGTTCATCATGCAGACCCAGAGGGCAGGAAACGCCTCACCAGGATAAGGCCCCAAAGGAACTTACCGGCCCACGGTTGGATGGGGTTGGACGGCCCAGATTGGCAAAAGAGGGCGTGAAGTCCGGTCCACAGTTCATCGTGTTCAAACGGACAGGGTCCAGGGGACGCAGGGGCATCTTATTCACCTAGAAGCCAAAAAGCAGGAAAATTAACACCACAGCTCTACAGTTTGCAAGGGGGTGGGGATTGCCTAGGTCTCAAATTCTGTGACTTCAAAAGAACTGCAGATGGTCACAACTTTCTGGGACAGATCATAGCACAGTCTTCAAAATCCCACCAGCCCAAGGGACCGCACTGAATGGATCGTGTTGCCTAGAACCGGAGTGGGCAAATTTTTCCTTGGTCAGAGTCCACCACTCACTTCCTGGCTCAGCTAAGGGGCTGTGCATGACATCCCTGGAAGGGACAGAGGTGAACCTGTCGTTTCTGTTTCCTAGTTTGGGGAGGAGGATTTGATTTTTATTTACCCGCCTTTATTATTTTTAGAAACAACTCGAGACAGAACGCAAACTCAACGCACCTTCCTTTTCTTATTTTTTTGCACCCACAACAACCACCCTGTGAAGTGGGCACGGAGCAGTGTGTGTGTAACTGGCTAAAAGTCACCCAGCCACCTTTCATGCCTAAGGCAGGACTAGAACTCCCAGTCTCCTGGTGATTGGCCCAAAGTCACCCAGC